AGACTACATTAGATTTATTAAACTGTGGGTTCTTATTGTGGGCTGCTTAGAGAACTGCATTCAGCTGCTTCTAACTGCAGCTCTCATAGGCGGGTGGGTTTGCCTCGTAAAAAACAGAATTGCTGGATTTCTCACTGAGCAATCAGCAAACTGCTTCTGACCCCCAACATTCTGCAAGTCTCCTTGTGATGCTTTGCTCAGCCTCACTTTCAGGAAGAGAAGATGCAATTGTCAAAGGCTGCTATAACCCTGCAGTAAGTATGAAAGCCTGAAGTCTATTCACGCTGAAGTGCTTTTTGCTCTCTCACGCCTAGCACATTTAGAGGCTTACATCCTTTGGGCTGTATGCTGCATGCTGTTAACAAGGAGAACATTTCTGAGTCTCTCTTCCTGGTTGCTCTTTTTTCTTAATGCTGTTGCTTGCCTAAAGCCCTGCTTTCCCCCTTAAGTTCTGCATTCAAAGCTTCCTGTAGCCAAGCCTGTCAGCATCTGCACATCTGCTACAAGAGCTGTTCCCAAAGTTGTTCTCTATAGGTGTCCTCAGGAAGATCCCAACAAGGTGGTGGTTTTCCGTAACAGGCAAAGCATCATACCCCAGGCACCCCAGCATCTCATTTATGCAGGACTGCACTGCCTCTGCAGGAGAGGTGATTTTTGGCAGTACACCTCAGGATGTGCTCCAGCCCTGGAGTTCCTGTCCTGGAATAGAGCCTTCAGCCTGGCACAGCCATGGTGTAAGGAACAGCCATTTCTCAGCTCCTGGTCAGCACTGACTTCTTCCTGGCAAGCAGCCAACTAACAGCAGTTCTTAAGCAGTACTGAGTGCCAATCACCTGTGTATCTCAGCAACAGCACACAAAGTCCAAGTATTGCACTGTGGAAAATCACCGTGTCAACCATTTTGCTCTTGATGGGGCATCTTCTCCCCTTTTTGATGCTACTTAGGACAAATGAAACAATGGGAGTGCCTGGACAGGGCCCAGCAGAAATGGAGGGGGAAAACGAACAATTGAAAAAACAGTAACAGAAGGGTAACATTTCCTGCCATGCTCCTTTTTGTTGCACCTTCGTAAAGGGACTGCAGAGACTTCCCCGGGTGCCAGATCCAGTCTGGGCTGCTCTAACTTCAGTTTCTTTTCAGGAATGCAGCTCACAGACCCAGAGACATCACAGGTGGGTGGCTTCTGCCTGAAACGTGACATTGGCTGGGAAGGCAGCAAAAAGCAAATGAAGCAGTGGAAATAAGAGCAAGAATTTCAGAAACAGATGCAGCTTGGTGTAAGGGTGAGGTTCGGGGCTGGGTTTTGGTTTACCATTAGTGATATAAGAACCACACTGAGGTTTCTGTCTCAGGCAGCCACAGCTGGTTTTGGGTGGTTCATCAATGCAGAAGTTGGGAGCAAGGCTGGCTACTGGCTTCCCCTGCCTGCCTCACTGGGAGGCCATTCTGCTCCCTACCAGGGCAAATCATAACGTGTTCCAGTTGCATGACCATAGGTGTCTCTTGGTAACAATTTACAATATGAATATAATGACCTGAAAACTATACTACTGCAAGAATCAGAGGTTGTATTGCTTAAAGAAAACAAGAAGCCAGTTCTACCCTTCCTAAAAAGGTTTTACATGACTCCCAGCCTCGTGCTAAGCCACTGCTCACCAGCTGGATGTGCTGATGAGGACTTCAAGCAGGAGGCAGAGTGATAACCCAGCCGTGCTGGGGTGATGAGGAGAGCACTGGAGGAATCCTCTACTCTGCCACTGGTGTATCTGAATTATGTGGGATTCAAAGACTGGCTGCAGCTGAATGAGTACTGTGGTTTACAGTGATTTTGTAAATGGTGAAGCCTTCCATTCAGGTTTTGTGAAGATAAAACAAAAATAAAATAATAGAAGGCGCAGACAGCTATAAAATAGGCTAACAGAGTTTCACATTTGTTTCATCCTGGGGGCAGAAAAGAATTCATAATGCTGAACCAGGTGAGAGCAAACAATTACAAATAATAACAACCAAATTTTCCAACAGGCGTTAAGATAGCCTTACTTATAGTCGCGTTGTAACATGGTCCTCTTGCCCCTCTTTCCACTGGTTTATAAACAAGTCACAAGCCTCTCCCCATGAATCAAACACATCCTCTGATGAGTCTAAAAGTTTGGAATTAGAGGAACAAATACTGGAAGCACAGTGAAGGGAGCTGGTACAAACCACAGGGCACTCCTTGCTCTGTCCTGTAAGTCTTGTGTTCCTACTGTAGTCTACCTCATTGAGGTTAATTTCACTTTTGGAACAATTCTCTTCTCTCTCTTTATCAATCTGAGAATATTTGATGTCTTTCCACATGTAGTGTGGCTGAATAATTCCATCTGAAATAGTGTACATGGGCTCTGAATTTGCTTCAGGTACATGTCCATTCATCTTGGAGAACAGCAGCCCCAGTCTCTTAAAGGACTCTTTCTTGGAACTGGAAAGCCTCTGAACTCTATTTCCATTTCGGATGAAGGAGCGCTTACTGATCCCGTTGCTTTTTGGCTTCTCTTCCACCATATCAATCCCAGACATTGTTTTAATTAGCGCAGATACATTGAAATCCTTTTTTTTGTTGGCTACATTGAAAGACACGCTTTTGACTTTGGGTTTTTCTCCAGCACTATCCTCATTTGTTTCATCCTTTTGAGACACCTCTGTGCTACTGGTAGAATAACTTCTTCTCTGTGGCTTCCTGTTTCCCAGCAGGTCAAGGACTTCATAGCGAAAACTTGAGATGTCCTGTTTTAATTCCTAGGGCAAGAGGAAAAATGAGGTACGCTCAGCAGCATTATCTGTGAGGTGAAAGAGTGACCACATTCTCTTGGGAGGATTGCTCAGAGGTAAGCAAAGTGCTGATATCAAGATATCAGCGATATCAGTGCTTACAAGAACACCACATAGGTGAACACCTACATAGATCATCATTATTTGATGATGGAGGAAAAACAAAAAAAAGTATTGTGAATCCTGACAAGTGGAAAGTTTGCAAGTTCTTTACCACCACAGGCTGTGGCCCAGCCTTTGTGACCACCCCTTTCCCCTTCTTCCTGCTTGAGCAGCGGGGGACAAGCTGAAATAAGGCATTTTATTATAGAAGTGATGAAACTGCTGGAATTTAGAAATATTACAGGAATCTTTTAGTTGGCGCAACTTTAACTTTGTTTACAAGTGTTCTTCACATCCACTCATCCAGCCTCAGTCTGGGATTAGGAGTGCGAAATTGATGCAAATCAAGTACTTTGTTTAAAGCCGTTGCCTACGTTCAGTATTGTGTATTAAAATCTGTGGAAGTGACCATATTAGAAGACACCTGAATGAGGAGTATTTTCTGCTCAAAGGAAAACACATGCACACCAGCTCCTGTAACGGTTGAATTTCCACATTTTTCCCCCAATTAGTGGGAACTCTTCAAGTGGCTACTCAAATTAATATGATCGTTAATGAGAGAAAAAGTTACCTTGAAATTTTCTTCAGTTAAGCCTTCGTTGGTTTTGGAAGTTCTTATCATTGCTGCAACATATCTTTTTACAAGATTTCTAATCACTTCCTGAAATAAGAAACAACATGAATCATTCAAATTCTGGCTTTGAGCAAATTCCATTCTTAGTGTACTGAGCACTTACTGACAGTGGTTCTCCCTATTTTGCTCTCTTAAAATGAATTTAAAGAAAAAAAAAAAAAAAAAACAATAAAAAGCGCTTTTTTTTTTTTTTTTTTTTTTTTTTTGGTCTTGAAAGCTGTTAAGTATTTTGCACTTTTCTAATTGTAAAAATTGTTCAGCAAAATTTTCTTATTATCTTAAATATCTTCAAGGTATTTAAATTCCTTCACTGCAGTTTTTAATCTCAGATGCCAAAAGTTCAAGGTTACCAGTCTCACATATACAGTGTAGCTAAGCATCAGCAAATAACCTGAAGAATAGCCAGGACTCCACGGGGCAATGTTAACCCCCAGGTGCCTGGGTCTTCTCTGGTGGTGGATTTGAGAACTCCTTGCAAAGCTGCTGTGGCATCCACTGACACTACTGGAAGTACTGATTCTTGCCTTTGGTGACTTCTCTAAAGGCTCTCACTCCTCAGCGTTAACCTGAAGATGTCTGTTACAGTCCAGATCTCTGTAGGATTAAATCCATTTTGCGTTGTGTCTGTGTCCCTCCTTGCTGGCTTGACATAAACAGACTGTTGTTTGAGGCTTCTATGGTTATCTGGCACACACAGCAGCTGATCTCTGTATACAGAAAACACTATCTCAAACCTTTCCTCCATTTTCCCTGTTCCAGAAACTGTGACACCAAGTGTGAGTATGACCAAGCACTAAGATGTTCTCTGCACCAAGGCTTTAGTGAGAGGTGTTTAAGAAATCCCTGCACCAGGGAGCACCAAATGTACGCTGCCAAAAGCGATCATTCTAAACATTGGCTCCAGATGCAAATGCTCTTTAGAAAACAGGAGATGTCTTAAGAAAGATGAACTGTGTGGCTTTTGACAATATGGCCTGCCTAACATTCAGGAGACCTTTTTTTGGTTCTTCCAGCATGCTGGCATAACGATTGCATTGAGTTCAGGTACTGAAAATGGTGTTTTTCATAGTTTCACCCTTTCATAGGTTGAATTTAATGAACTCTTGATAATGAGCAGGCTGAGAAAGTACAGAAACAGCAGAATTGAACACAGGAACAATTCCTCCTTCCTAAGCTGCCTAGAACAGAAGGAAATCTCAACCACTGTTTGATGTAGGATTAGGGATGCCTTGCAAAAAAGAGTAGAAGAGCAACTTGAGAGGCCTTATGTAAAAATGCTGCAGAAACAGTTATAATCGGGGTGACATGGCAGCATGATCCCTCTGAAGTCACTGCTGATGCAGCCTCTGACTTAGCAATCGTGACACACGGTAACTTTTCTTCTACTTTAGAGCAGGTACAAGAGTTAGGAGTGATTTAGTAAACCATGTCACCTCTACTGAGGAAATGCTTTAATCCATAAGCAAAATCCTGTCAGAGTTCCTACATTTGTATATATTCCAGAAGAAAACAAGAAGTAAGGTACTAGAAAATAAGCAGGAAGAAGAAAAAGCAAATGAAAATTTGATCTGCTGGAGAGCTTACCTGGTAATGTTGATTCTGGATGAGGTTATCGGCATGGCGCTCCTGGAAAGAGAAAGGCACAGCCATGTTACCCATGTCATCCTACTTGTAATGATGGCTCTTGGCAAGTTATGATCCAGCAGCAACCTTCTACCACACCAGTGTACTGGTGATCCTGGTGACCCTGAACATGCACTCCCAAAAACTGAAGGTTAAAACCATGCAGCTTCTTACTGTGAATGTTTTGAGGTTTTCATGTCTCTTCTGCTCATTGTCAGAATCATTGCCTGGGCACAGCTGATTGTGAATCCACTTGCAGAGGTACCAGAAAGACTTGGGACTTGGGATGATGTTAAAGGGAGGAGGCAGGGTGGCCCCTTCGTCAAAGTAACTCATCCAGAGCTTTGTCCGTGCAAACTTCCACTCTATGTCTGCATGGTCCTGTGGGAGGGAGGAGAAAAGAGCATCAGCAGTTTTAGGCAGGCTGTACTGGAGCAAATACCAGTGGCTGAGGAGGTGACGTGAACAAGAAAGGAACTGGCTGCAGCAAAGCAGTATCACTTCTTCAATCTCCTTGCTGCGAGTGTACTTGAAAGTGTAGAACAGCTGAGTAGAAAAATACCATCCTCTCAAATATAATTATAGCAATAGTCAGTGAAAAGGTTTGAGAAGCTGAAGCTTAGCTTCATCTTTAGAGTTGATGCTTATCACAGGCTTACCAGTAAATGAAGCAGGGGTACTGTTTTTCTTTCGCTTTTTGCTAGTTTTTGTATTACCACAAACTGTTGTTTCTCATGTCAAAAGCCAATGAATTCTCACACTTTTCCCTGGAAAAAGATATTTCATAGTTTTTGTTGATTTTTTTTATAGCATCTATTAACTCAGCACTTGTTTATAAACAAGTGGTAACATTTTACTGTGTGCCATGTTTTATATCTCACCTCTGCAATATCACTACACCAAATTGGAGACAGCTTACTGATTTTTTTATTTATGCTATCATCACAACACTGTGCCTGCTTGCTTTGCTCTAGTGCTTTTCATCCCAATTAAGTAAAGGTGGAAAGTTACTTGTATCATGTTACAGCTACAGAGATACGTGTTCATACCATCACCAAAAATGAATTGCAAAACTGAATTCCAAAATGCAAAACGGTGATCCCTGAATTGAGGTATTTGCCATTCAATCTGTAGAGCCTGGGCAGGCAGCAGCCCTCAAAACTACACTGTGAAGTGTAGGACAGGGAGTTAAATATGTCTGAACATCATGCCCCAGAAATTACTACACTGGCATTCTGGCTATGCTCCAGTGCTCTGACATGGCTAAAATGTGCTCACAATTCAACAGTGAGGTGCAGCTCAACTCCATTTTAATAGCACTCTCAAGTTATGTGCAGCTCTTGATTTAAAACAACTGCCTTGGTAGCTGAGGAGCACATTAGTCTCTGCAGATGGTGTGAATCAGCTCAAAATACAAGGGCCTGAGCTGCATCTCCTCCTGGACATGCTCACTGCGAGGCAAAGGGGAAAAATCCATCAGCGACTGCATGTGAAGAGGCTGCAGACAGTTGGTGCACTGATAGATCGAGTCTCTGAAGCACTCTGTAGGGAAATATGCAGATCATGCCTGGCAGCATGAGATGTGTTGGGTTACTCAGCCACATCTTAAGGAACTACAGACACTTGGAAACACTGACAGCAGTATCTGGGGGTTCGGCTTAAGACAGTGAGAGAGAGCACAAGGCTGTTACTTAGAGACACATATACTCCAGGTTTGTTAATGCAGAAACATAAAGGTCCTAATGGGGAATCAGAGGGGAGATGTTTGTTTGGCTAGATATCCACCCTAGAAATCCATCCCTTCTACGAGTGTCCGTGACAGCTGGCTGCAGCCAGTGCTGGGGCAGGATCAGGTACGCTGACATGCTCCACCTGTACTTCTTCACAGTCTTAGTCACAGAGCACAATATACCCTCATTTAAAAGAGGCACCCCATACTGTACTCCACGTGTCTTTGCTATTTCTCTTCCTCTCTTTTACTGCTGTTAATTCCCCTGGGGTTTATGAACTCAGCCTGTCTCAGTTACTCACCTTGATGTTTTGAGAACCTGAGCAAATCAGCTGAGAACTGCTGGCAGCAGTTCTGAGTTGGAAGTGCACAGAAGAGAGAGTTCAGTTTTACTGTTTTTTGTTTGTTTGTTTTTGTTTTGTTTGGGGGGGGGGGGGGGGAGGGGAGGGGGGCAGGAAACCACCATTTTCTTGGTTAGAGCTCTCTTCAGTGCTATGAGTAGTGAACCTGCATGTGAAGCAGCAGCTTTGTGAACTCACTTCCCTGTGATGAATACCAGCAGCACCACACTTCAGCAATCACCTGATATCCAGCCCAGGCCTGACCACCACATACAAAGCTCCACAGCTACGGACAGTCGGAAGGCTCCTGCAGGGCCACAGCAGATCATGTAATGTTTTCATACAACAACTTCTGCAACTTTTATAATAAGCTAAAGAAACATCTGTTAGCTTTGCAAGTGTGACCTTGTTGCATTAGGAATTTAAATCCAAGTTCGGAATTCTTTGTCCTCTCCTCAGGCTCCTGTTGTGTTGCCCTTGCTCTTGTCACTATTTCCTTTCGAGCACTGCTCATTTCAGCTGCAGAACACTCTGCTTCTAGGAGAGCTGAGCCCTCACACTCAGAGTGCGTGAACTTAAAGAAACAATGCTCGGTTTCTCTCTGAGGAAAAAAAAAAGTATCACTTACAATCACAATGCAGATGTGTCATACTGGCCACATAATCCTCTTGCAAATCTCTGCCATTTGAAGTTTAAATTAATCTCCCATAAAGATTTCCCTGGAAGATTGCTGGAGCCATCTTACTGCAGCAGTTGTGAAGATTCTTTAATTCAGTCAAAGTGATGAATTCACAGATGTGCCAGATTTTAAATAATTACCTGCTACACTAATTACACAGGATAATTCAAGCATTAATCTCCATCTTCATCTCTGTATAGAAAGTCTGTTGTTTACATCTTGTAATTATTATTATTATTATTTTAAAACACAGATCACTACCACCATCTCCTTACTGGCCATATGGTTTAGATCACACATTGCCAAATAACTTCCTGTTTTTTTGGCTGGTACTGCACCAGCCAGCACAGCCCCAGTGCTGGGAGGCTCCCTCATAGAAGCAGGGAAACATGAAGGTTGGAAAAGACCTCTAACATTATCTATAGTCCAGCTGTCCACCTACCACCCATTACTGTCCTCTGAACCATGTCTCAAAGTACATCTCCACAGTTCTCCAGCTCCCCCAGGGATGGTGACTCCATCAGGCAGTCTGTGCCACTGTCTGACCACTCTTTTGGAGAAGTTTTTCCTAACACCCAATCCCCAAGTTCCCCTGGCACATGCTGAGGCCATTCCCTCTCTTGCTATTGCTAGCATGAGAGGGCACTTCCATCCTTGTGTCAGGTGGCTACTGCTACCACTCCACCTGGGTTCCTCAGCCTGTTCTCAGATTTAGTGTCTAGGCTCCCTGAGGTGGCTGAAAAGCTGAAGGAAAATACTGTCACTTGTAACTTAGCACAATTCTGTTGACAAACACAGGAGCCTAATCTCATGGCTCTTGAAGCAGCATCCCTGAAAGCTCTATGATGAATCTGAGTTTCCATCAGCTCTGGTCTGTGTAATGCTATAATGTGATGGAAAGTACAGCAATAATAGCACGGTGGATAAGTTTTTAGCTACAGCAAACAAGAGCAAGCCCAAATACAGCAACCACAGACACAAAAATAAAGGAAAATCAGCTGCTTACCTTCACAAGACTTCAGGTAGGCAGGGAGCTCCAACAAGATACTCTCACCTCCTCCTGCCAACCTTTAAATGAGGTATGGAAAGGGGTTGATCCTGGCTCCACCCCTTCCAATCACTCAAGTACACTGCATGCACCTGAGCTCTCCTGGGTTGGCCCTGCCTTCCCACCAGGTGCTCAATCACTGCTTCAGGTTGTGACTTAGCATTTCCACTACAGGCTGAAATGGGTTCTGACAGCTCCATGCTCACTGATGCTGCACCCCTGCTCAGCTTGCGTGAGGCTGGTGTACGGCCATGGTACAAGCACTCAGTGAGAGCAGCATAGGGATGACAGTAAAGTTGGGCATTCAGGCGATCTGATACCTTCAGACTTTTCCACAATCACAAAACAAGCAACTGCTTCAGCTCCTTTATGTTACGAAGTGTTGCACGAGGGCTTATCTCTTTACTTAACAGGAGTAAAGAAGTGTGTTCCTAGGATACAAATCCTCCCCACACCCCTTTGCACAGAATAATGAATAAAGATGTCTGGCATCTTTCTAGCTGGCACAAAAAGGGCTGCGTATGCCTTTCTTGTACTTTATTACACAACAGTCAGTGGGCTAAGCTGGAAATCAGGCTGCTGCCTGTCAGATGCAGATATAGATGGCTGTGATAATGCCCCCAGGACCAGGCTGTCTGGCAGTGGCTGAGCACCGCAGAAGCAGGGCAGCGTGTTGTGCAGGGAAGGCTGGCAGCAGCCAGCAGGACGTCTGCATGGACAGCTCTGCTGCTATCCCAGGAGGTGCAAAAAAGGTCAGGAAGGGCCCAAGCTGTATTACTTTCCTCCAGGGAAGGAGGAGGAGATGCATCACCCACTTTTAAAGGAGGTCACAGATATGTCTTATTTGCAGCTGGTGAGTAAGGGGGGGCTCATTCCCTCAGAGGCACAGGAATGTCAAAGGTGCTTTTTGTTGTATCATCAGCTGAGCTGCTAAGAGTAGGGGAAAGTCATTAAACTGTATTTAGTATATTTCTATCTCCTTTGACTCTTTATTGCTCTTTGCAGGATAAATCCAGAGAGTGACAGCACAGAAAATCCATCAAGGTTTCAGGCTAGCACAAAAAATATGCCCTTGTGTGTCTTGAACAGAAAGCAGTATAGAAAGAGGGCCAGGAGAAAGTTAATCTTTGCAGAGCCTGACACAGACAACTTTTCTGCAGTTTCAAGACTGTTAATTTTGTATTATGTGTTGTGCAAACTGCTAATAACATCAGCAGAGACTGGGGGCTTAATAACAAGCTCGGAGAAGCAAGCAGCAAAAATCCAAGCAGGCTGTTTGAGCTGGTGCTGAATATTTTTCAAAGAGAAATATTTTGTACAAAGGAAAAACCCATATATGAGAGAAATCTGGGATCTACAAAGGCAATTAATGCATAGGTAATTCAGCTGCAGCTGACAACAAATGACTTTGCTTTCAAAGCTGGGGATGACATACTGAAGGATAAGAACTTAATGGGATCAATCACAAAAATAATACAAGAAAAATTACTAAAGGAGGACAATCTAGCATTAGAAAAAGCAATTAGAACAGTCAGGGAATGAGGCAGACAAAGGAGAGATGAAAGCACTGTCTGGCATGAATCG